TAACAGGTCTCTTCAGTATCACAGGTCTACAAATTAAGAATTAAAGCCTAAATACCTCAACCATGCCTTGATTTAAATGAGTTTCTGGACTTTGAACTTGTGCCATATTGTGACAAAAATGTGAGCATCCTAGAAAGGGGCTAAGTATATTTTACATGACAGAGCAATATGAATAACTGTGGGCGGATGGTGAAGTGTGGTGGGCAGGTCCTAAGAGGGTCCTCAATAATAATCCCAGTTCCTTTGTATTCATGGTTTTGTATAATCCTATTCCCTGAATGTGGGCTGGATTTACTTATAACAATTGAAATATAGCGGAAGAAATGGTACCTCACTTTCAAGATTAGGTTATAAATAATTTGTGGCTTTGATCAGAGATGTTTTCTCTTTTTTAGACAGATAACCCTGAGGGAAGCCCACTTCCACATAGTCTCTTAGTGAGGTCTATGTGGCAAGGGACTTTACGGAAGAGAATTCCTATCTCCGCACAATTAAGCCTTTAGATCAGACCACAGCCTCAGCCAGTAACTTGGCTGCAACCTTTGGGAGACCTTGACCCAGAGATGCCTCTCTAAGCCACTTGTCAATATCCATGCTCCTGTGAGAAGTGAATGCATGTTCTTTTACACTGCTAAGTTCAGGGTTAATTTTTCTGCAGCCATAGATAACTAATACAAAATCTTTACGAAGTAATAAAAATAAACATTATGTGTAATGGGGCAAATCAAAATTATGTTTCACTTGATAGCATACAGAAAGAATACAGCATCACCTCTGTGATGTACCTAACACAGATGCATGTGCTGAATTAGGAGAGAACATCAGAAAAGGCCAAGATGGTGTCACTCTTTTTAAAATCTTCAAAACTGTTAGAGTCACTGAATTCAAAAACAAACAAACAAACAAAAACAGTAAGGAACTAACTAGGAGGAAACCAAAGGGACATGGCATTTAAATGCAATATGTAATTTTAAATTTAAAAATTTTGTTATATAAGAAATTGTTGAGGCATTTGATGAAGCCTGAATGGGGTTTAAGGATTAGATTGCAATGAGGCATTAGAGTTAATTTCCTGATGTTAAGCATTAAATTTTGATTATTAAAAAAATAATGTCTTTGTTTGTAGAAAAGAGCCAATATTCTGTCTCTAACTTCCAGGCAAAGACTGTGTGGGACACAGAGAGAAGCCGAGGATAATGTGCCTGTTCCTACGGTGCTACGTGGGCTACTGTCTGTGGTCACGGCTGGCTCATGAGATAAGATAATAAATCTGCTTCACCATTTCTTAGTTTGTCCACCACCGCATTTCCACACATGCAAGAAAATGTGGATATTGATTCATGTTTCTAAATTATAATAATGATATAATAAAGTAATGTGAAGTGGAGTCGCAACCTTCCTATTTCTATCCTGCAATTGGATTATTTAAGTATGACCATATAGAAAACATTCTTTTTAATAACCTACTAAAAGGTCTGCCAAAATTTTCATCTTAGCATTCATCTCCAAATTTTATGTAAAGTTAAGAAGACAAAGGGAAGCAGTTTAATGTTTTGTTAAGTTAGCAGTGTAATTCCCTTGCTTTTTGATGTCAGTGGATAAGAGATACCTGTTCCACAGATTTTAACTGGGGACATTCATTCTCAAATTAATATAGTTAACAATATAATATAACATGCATTCAAAAGAATGGGCTCATTTGAGATGGAAAACTAAATGTAACCCCCCAAATATTTTAGAAATCACTAACCTCCAAATAAAAGGCATAATTACTTGTGATTAAGTTCATCTAAAGATCCTGAGAGTAATTCCTACTTTGTGATACATAAGTCTTAAGTTTTCATATAAAAATAAATATCAAATGTAAACAGCACTGCAGGAGTGTGTTGTAATGATTAAATGAAATAGAAAATGAAAATATCTATTTAGATCTTCTGGCCCCTGTCTATTGCTCAGAAAATGGTAGGTCTCCACATAAATTATGATTCTGAATTGCTATGTATTAAACATGTCAGAGAGACCTGGTTAGTAAAAACCCAATCAGCTGCCTCAAAATGGCTTAGCTCAGACAGAGGAAGATAGTACAAGTATGAATATGGATTTGAAGATATTAAACCTGTCAGCACTCCAGGAAAAGTAACTTAAACGGCATACCCTACTGATACATAATTACCAGATATGGAAGAGGGCACATTACTGTAATTCATTGTTACTCTGGTGATCTTAAAGAATTAAGACCACATTCATAATGACCAAATTTGTCTCCGAGGAGTAACTCTGAGTAGGGGAATCTGGATCATTAAGTAATTTCCTTAGGTCAGAGTAAAAGCACTTTAACTATGGATATTACTTCTGTGACATACTGGGTGTCGCACAAGTTGGTAACAAAGTGACCTTTCTCTCAAACAATTCATAGATTCACTAGAATTTCTACAACTCTCAGGAACTTAATATATTCCACAGTCTTAAATGTCTTAAATATTGATTTTCCTCTGAAATCTTTACTTACCCTGCTCACTACCATCTCCCTTTTATACAATTATGTTTTTTATAATTTTCACTTTATTTAATCTCCATTCCAGGTTTAACTGTTCATCATCCTTTCAGATGTACTACTCCGTTATTGCTAAATAGACATTTATGTAATAAATTTTGTTTCCCTGTTATAGTATTTCTTGGTATTCTATAGTACAAAATTAGCTATTGTACTACATGTATTTTTAGACTGCTTGATTCTTCTCTTTTATTAAAAATGAAATAGCAGCATTCTCAATTATTGGGAAAACAGTTATTTCCTAGAGAATATCTCAAACACAGACACACATATATATAACTGACAGAAGGATTTGCTGCACTGCCCTGTATACTGCTGTGAGCTCCATCTGGTCTTGACCAAAAGTTATTTTCAAATTCTAAGGGAAATGATACAGGATTTGCCTAGAAGGGGTGTAGGGGAAGAAAATAGAGAATAAATAATTATTGGACAAAACGGCTTCCAGCAGCGAAGCATTTCCCTGTGGTGAGAAAGGTGTGCATGGGGATGGAGTTCAGGAGCTCTAGGAAAATCAATACATCTGGACGCAGGTTGATTTGGTTAGACTTTGTTTAGCTTTTGGTTGGCCACATAGAAACAAACACATCAAATACTGCACATCTAACTGGGATTCTTAAATTTTTTTTGGTTACATGTGCATAGGCAGGATTGCAGAGAATGGCAAGATCAGTACATGGCAGATATCCAGTTTCTAATATGTAATCTGTATGTGGTGTTTATAATTTTTGGTATTTATTTGGAAAAAGTACATTATGTAGATGCAGTATATTCTCCCATAGCTCTTTCTGGTACCTCAGTGCAGCTCAGCAAACAGCGTCTCTACCAAACAGTACACAAAAGCTGTTTTGTTCTCTTATTCACCTACCTCTTGCCTAGTTTTCCAGATTTATTTCTCTCTTCAAGAACTAGCTGTGAACTTCTGATGTAAGGGCTCAGACTCTGCAACTATCCTTTCTTTATCTTAGCTGGCACTACAGAAGACTTAATTGTTTATATTATAAGAGGATGTTCTAATACTACAGAGAGGTGTGTGTTTGCTTTCAGGATGCTGTTTGGGTAATAAAGTGTCATTGAGGATCATGATTTCATGTAAATATCTCCAATTTTCATGAAGTCAGCACCAGGCTAAACCATTTATTACTAAAAAGCATTGTCTTCTTAAAAGCCATACTGTTTCTCAAAATATTACCTTCATTTTTCTCCTCCTGTAAAAGCAAAACATCCTTTTTTAAAAATTGTACTTCCCCATTTTCAGGGTCTACTTTTCTAATAAGACATATTCCAATTGTATTTTTAAATCTCTAGCAACCACAGCACCACATAAAAGAGGCAGCTCAAAGCTGTAGCAGAAACCCAGCAATAGATATGCAGCCTTGCGTCTGCACACAAAAATTTCACATTTAGGTGAACTACTCTGAGCCGATTTCTCAGGTCAAAGAAAGAATATGGTCTTTGAATGCCTGATAAGGTCACAGACACAATTTCAAGTGCATTTATGGTTGATCTGTGTGACAAGTCCTATAGCCAGTATCCTCCTTCTGCCCTCAGGGTACAAACTTCTTGTGTGTCTACAACCAATTGTAAGGGCAGCAGAACCTCCCCTCCAAAGACTGTCGGACACAGGGAATATTAGCAACTGCTCACAGAAGAGTTTCATATTGTTGCCTGAAAGTGATGAGTAGCTTTAACGTACAAAAGTGCTAGAAACTAAATTTCACTTTGGGGAAACGTGAGGGATTGGCAGTGGTGACAGAGGAATAAACACTGTAAGTTAAAGTCGTCATTGAAGGTGGAATCCTTAAGTCATTGACTTTAAAACACATATTTCAGGGTTTTGTAAATTGTTATTGAAATGTGATCTTATATTTATTCATTATTAGTCATCACAACAATACTATGACATAATTGTGAAATTATTCTAACAATGACTGTATAATGATGTTTATTTTCTAGCGTGGCAGCTTAACTGCCACATGTGACCTGTAGCCACAAGGCAACACACCCCTTTCTGGACCACCTTCAGACTCAGATGTGGTACATGCTTTGATTATTTACTTTCAGCCAAGAATTCTAACTGGTACTTGGTGAGTGTGGTGGTGACCTCCAACTATGTAGGTATCCGGAATTGTAATTAGAATCAATTTCAGTCCAAAGTGAGTTTTGTACTTCAAGTACAAAGGAATTATATGAGTTCAGGGAAATGCAATGATTGAAAAAAAGTGAAGACTATTATATATCCTAGATATTTATGTATCTGTTTATGTATTTTGAACGCAGCAAGAAGAAAAATTAGATAGAATTTGGAAAAACTAAACAAAAATAATGGTATCTTCTATGCTGGAAGAGTAATCTTCTGGATTACAAATAAGATGTTTATATCAAGCTGCAGAAAATAAATGCGAAAAGGCCTTGTAGCAACTCATAGAATTTTGGTTTGTCTACTCACCCACAGGAGACATTTCGGGGACACTGGCAACATATGGTCCATCCAAAAACTTTGGCTCGTTATCATTAATATCCTGCACTTTGATGATGAACTCTGATTCAGGCTCCAGGGGCTTCCTGGTTTCTATGTCCACGGCCTGAGCACGAAGCGTGTAGAAAGGTTTTTCCTCTCTGTCCAGGCTCCTTATTGCATGAATATCCCCTGTAGTTTCATCAATGGTAAAAACAGTGCCAGCACCATCTCCTGAGAGGGTGTATTTAACAGTGCCCTCTCCTTTATCTAAGTCAGAATGGAGCTTTAGGAGGAAGGGGGAGAGGGAAGGAGGGAGAAGAGAGGGGGAGAGAGAGAGAGAGAATGAATGAGGCCATTAAATGACTGGTTCTAGGTTTAAAAGCCTTATTTGCAGTATACTATTTATAAGAAAAGTTAAACAAAACAATGCTTTCTACTGTTTGTCTTTATAAATACACACAAAAAAACAAAGTTTGAAAAATGTGTGGCAAGCCCCTGGATATCCCTAAAACTACATTCACCTTTTAATCTACTTGACTTATCCCAGAGATAGATCACATATCTATCCATCGTTTCAGTCTTCTTTCAATCACATTTTTTCTTAATATATTGCAGAGATCAGAAACCAAGTGTCTAAATGCATCAGCATGCATTAAATACAACTATTTTGAATATTTGCACTATTCACTCCTTTTATACACTTTTGGGGGACATTTTATTAAAAATGCACAAACCTTAAGTGTACTTATTGGTTCATCTTAAATAATTATTTTTAAAAAGATTTTATTTATTTATCTTTAGAGGGGAAGGGAAGGAGAGAGGGAGAGAAATATCAGTGTGTGATTTCCGCCTGTGTGTCCCCTGCTGGGAACTGGCCTGCAACCCAGGCATGTGCCCTGACTGGGAATCAAACTATGATCCTCTGGTTCACAGGCCCGTGCTCAATCCACTGAATTACACCGTATATTCTCTAAATATCCTGAAGATAGAAATCAAGAATCTGAATTGAGTGGGAGACAAAGTAAAGGAACTCAGAAAACATTGGGTCTTTCCATTGGAAAGGAGAGGAAAGGTTTGGCAGACAAGGAGAGCTTTGTCTCACATGACACAGGTATCTCATCTTAACCAATTGACTTGCATTGAGTTATTGCAAGTCATTGAATATTACTCAATAACCCATCCAAATGATGGGTAGGATCACTGGTTATTCTTTCATATTCACAGAAACATGCTTGCTCTAATTTACTCGCTATATTTGAAAACAGAAAAGAGTTTTGAACTTCTGCTAATTCCTTCTGAAATCCAACACTTACAATTCACTATTGTAGCATGAAAAAGGATAAATATAAATGTTATCAGTTAGAGGAACGAAGAGGAGAGATATTGTTATTGTAATATAGTAAGTCATGGTTTTTCAGATGGGAATCCAAGAACTGATGGAAGATAGATCTAATCTTAGGAATCTATAAATTGTTCAAATGAATAGATATGTGTTATACTTATTAAACTATAGAAATGTTGCTTTATATGCAACTATTTAATCATATGTATAGTCATAAATGTATTTTGTAAATAGTTAACGTAAATTTAAAAAATATGTAGTATTCTTATAAATAAACTATTACTTTTCATTCATATGCTGATTTAAAATGTTTTAAATCATTCTCATTCATTTGGATACAGCCTCTGATTTCAACTTCCAAGTTTTTATACTTAAAAGCTCATTTCAGCCAACTGATCAGTCAAAGAAAATGTGTTAAACTTTTAAAATTTCCGTAGCTATTTGGGCTGTGCTTTAAAATTTGCAGACAACCATAGCTCTTGTGCACAATTTTGGGTAAGAATGAGTTCTTTTTGTTAATGGTTCAACACCAAAAAAAATTTGAAAGTATTTTAAGTTATAGAAATATACTTTGACAAATAGACTTTCTGGTGTTAGAGAATGAAAAAACAATAATGATATGTAGGGGACCATTTTGCATAGTGTGGAAAGGTAGCTCAGCACCCACATGGAAAACCAGTGGGAAGCAAGTAGGCACACAGGACCATGCCCATGGAGAGGTTTTCCCATAGGGAATCAGGCCTGCATTGTACCTAGGCTGCTATGAGAGTTGCTTTTGCTAAAACTCCCTCACCCTGAATTGAGTTACAGTAAGCACCCAGCAAGGGCTTACTGTAACTTCCTAAGATCTGTGCTAAACCTCCCAAGTACGGAGTGTAACCAGTTCAACCATTTTCCCCCTTGGTCTGCAACATCCTTCTCTTTGAAGTAATTAGCAACATTCTTTCCTTTATTATCTGTAAAAGGTAATCACCTGCAGCAAACCTGTGCACAGTAAATGAGGACCATCCTCAATGTAATGGACCCAGAGAAGCAATAAAAGCTTGTCCAGGCAGGGGCCGGGGCTCTCTCACCTTCTCTCTCACTTAGAAAGCGGCCATGCTATCTCTTTTTCTTTTTTCTCCAAAGGATTTCTGTAGTCCGTGTGTATTAGCTCATAGCAACCGCAACACACCCGTGCCCTGCCGGCCAGAATCCACATCAATGATACACTAAATTTTGATTTTTCTTTAAAAGTTTTTTGTATATTTTACTCATGTCTAAGAAAAATGCTGTGAATGATAGAAGAAATTTCTCACCCTGTCCCCTAAGTCTTTAAAAACTTCTCTGAAGCATAGGAAGTTTCAAGCATAAAGTCAAACTGCAGATAAATTTCCTTCGAACTTAAGAATTTCAAATTACAAATTTAAACCACACCATTAAAGTTATCCAACACACTGTGGATTCCTTTTGCTTTTAAAGTTATCTAAAGATATGAGACAGGCAAAAGCTCAATGCAAAAGCAATGGCTTTATAAACTGCATCCATTTTGCCAACGGTTCAAAAAATATGTGGTAATATTGTGGAAACCAAATGAAAATTCTAAATAGGTTTTACAATGTGATCCAAGTAGTTAAAAAAAACTTCATTTAGCTAAAATCAAAACAGTTTTCTATTCAAGCTAACGTAATAAAAAAGCAAATGTGTTTTCAGCTCTATCCAAAATTCAAATTAAATTCAGTTCTTTCTTCTTCCTCTTCTACCTTTTCCTTCTAATTTAAATCTGAGTTGTATAGAGATTAAAACTTCAAAGAAGCCCCAGCTGGTGTAGCTCAGTGGCTTGAGTGTGGGCCTGTGAACCAGACATTCAAGGTTCGATTCCCAGTCAGGGCACATGGCTAGGTTGCAGGCTGGTTACCTGTAGGCCAGTTCCCAGCAGGGGACGCACGAAAGGCAACCATACACTGATATTTCCCTCCCTCTCTCCTTCCCTTCCCCTCTAAAGATAAATAAATAAAATATTTAAAAATTTTCAAAGAAATATGTGAAGAAAATACATTAAAATATGAACTAAAAATAAACTTGATGAATGTAAAACTTATCAGACGATTAGAATTTTGTACTAGTCACTGCAAGATAATAACTTAGATTACATACAGTAAATTGCATTGGCAGGCAGTACTCAAAATTAGTTAATCAGAGTTAAGTCAAGCACTTGGGTGACTGGCCTAAACTAGAGGTGTTTTTCCACAATCAATTCTAATATTGAATAAGTGAGGTTTTTCTGATGGTGGGTATTACAGAATTTTCTTCATATCACATATAAAATAATTTCAATACAGAATATTAAAAAGTTAAAATTCCTTTCAGTCTCTTATTTATAGATAACTTCCTTGATCATTTTTACACACTTTCAGTTATATTTATATATAAATAAATGTAAATAAGTATATACATATCTGAAATGATACATATATATAAGCGTATTCATATATCTTCTTATATTTGCATATCATTTTTCTGGCTATGAATGCATATATGCATAATATTTAAGAATAATGAGTGAGTCTATACTTTCAATAATAATATAGTATAGTAATTTCTCATTGTCATTTGAAATTATTCAAAATTAATTTTTAATATCTGTATTGTATTCATTTAAGGAAGTCATTGAGTTTTGCCTATCCTTTTATAAACAATGTGATGAATGTGTGTGTTCTACTGTTTAGTTTCTTAAAATAAAAAGGGTAATTTCCAAGATCAAAATCATGATAATTGTTGCAAAATTTTTTGAATCTTGAATGATTCCAGAAATTGACATCTATAGATGAATTTTTAAAAATCTTTTAGCAAGGCGATTTGATTCAGGTTCAACTTACACTGCAAAGCTACTTCTTAGTTCATGTCTGTAACTAAGGGAGGGGTACAGAAGGAGGATTCTTGTGCTTTGGTTCATCTTTGGGTTGTGTTAACTAGAAAGATCACATGATGCCGTCTTATACAGGGGCTTTAAGCTACAGATTCAGCAAAATAGCAATTCAAGCATAGCCACTTAAAAATAACAATAAGCAATGTTTTTTATAATGTTTTCAATAATTTTTAAAAAGTTGTTTCTGAGTAAGTGCTGACTGTATTTACTGACTGAATCAGCCAACTCCAATAAAATCATCATTTAGTATTGACATTTAAAATAAAATTTATCCAAGAAACAGAGTTCCATAAATGATAGATGTGGAAACATGCAGTGTACAGGCAGTTGCTTTGTAGAAGTGGTGTTGTTATTTTCTGATGTTCTCCAAGTCATTTCCCATGGAGCGTGAAAATGAAATGACAGAAGAGGCTTGAGAAAGACACTAAGGACTAGCTGCAGAGTGTAAGTGAAACTGAATTCTAGTCCTTAAAATTTGAGTAAGCTAATCTAAATGTAAGTATTTACTAGCACTGCTCTGATTGTATTTTAGATACTGCTTCACAGAGAAGGAATTCATTCTTCTTTGCCCTGGGTTGAAGAGTGCACGTAAGAATAGAAAATGCTTTTATATTATGCCCGGCAGTGATTTTATTTTCATTTGCTCTTTGCAAGGGTAGGGGCAGTGTCTAGGCCTGGGGAGAGAATGGATTCTGTTGAAAGGAGAAATTGTTTTATTTACATACAGGATGTGTTCAGCTAAACTGGCAAAAATGAGCATAAGACAATTTTATGTGAGTTTCTTCGGCTGAAATAATTTTATTATGTACAAAACAAACGGCTTTTGCTAGATTCTTCTTGGTGAACTTAAAAAAAAAAGAACTTCGTATTTCTTTTTTTGTAGTTGCTTACTTTCCTGTTAATGCCAGTTCTATGCCCAAGAACATCACAGCAGCAACTGGATAAACTACAAAACCATCAGTTGTTGTTTTTTTTTAATGCATTGCTTATTGACAAAAGAAGACTAGACCCAAAGATGATTTATAAGTCTATG